CGGCCGGTGCGGGTAATCGGCCGTGCGGGTAAACGACCGGAAATTACGGTATATTGACGAAATTTACCTTCAGTTTCCATACTGTATCACGAGGATTCATTCAAGCTGATGACATCGAAGCTGGTGCAATATTAAGATGAAAACAATTCCTATAATTTTTGTTTCTAAAATTAAATCACTTTCCGCTTAGGTTAGCATTCATGTGACTTGCAAGAGGTCATAGGTGCAGTCACAAATTCTATGAGGAACATGGTTTAAGTGTCATCATTGTCTATACTTGTCTACCATTGTTTCTTATTTTCTATCAGCTGATTTGTTTATCTTTTGCTTTTCCCTGTTCCAGAGTGGACAATTTGTTAAATAGCTTCGTTAACCAAACAAAAATATCTTGATTTTTCTGCGCTAGTGAATTAAAACTAAGGTACTTCCGTTCGCCCTCAGAGCGCGTGACATCCTAATTATAGGAGCTAAGAAGTGATTCCAGTTAGACAGGGCAACTCGAACGATGGATAAAAGCTTGACCTGACAGCTATTGGAAAAGGCAAAGCATTCAGCATCGTCACCTTCTTCCAAATTATGAAAATCATTTCTAAACGCTAGTTTGATATAAAAAAGTTTCAGGAGACAAGGCACCTGAAGTCGTGATGCATTTCGGAGGTAAATATTGAATGAATCATTTATATTCGGTTAACTTGAATGCCTTATTCCTGTAGAATATGAGAAATCTACCTCAGAAACTGCATATTTGCTTATATTTATGTTATAATTGTCAAAACGTTTTAAATGCCCTTCTTAAGAAGAAACAGGTGAGCTTTATGAGCCTGTTAAGTTACTTGGACCTTCGAGAAACGGGCTCCAGGCCACGGTCATTACGATAATATCTTTCTATGGCTGGACGTTAAATTTAGAAATTCTTCTATAATACTTTTGTAATTGAGGTGTATGCTGTGTTGCTCATTTCGCTTTCGTTAATATTGTTGTTCTTGTGAATCGATCCAAACGTAGAGCCAATCCCTTAGATAACAAAGAAATCATAGCCTAGGCTTAGGAAGTGTCGGAATCATGAATTAGAAGCTAAGAGTGCTGATATAAAGAGCAGAAGCTAGATTCTCAAGTTGACCTCAGTGATACAAAATTTAACCAAACAATCAACTCTCTCCCTTAATTTTTCTTCCTAATAAAAATAATTTCGCTTGTCATTTTTAGGCCAATTATCAAAGAAACCGTTCTGATTTGCAATCGAAGGAAATCTTATTTCTGAACTTAGTTTTTTAATTAGGAATTTGTCGAACAGAAGTAGAATGGACAGTACTTTAGGAAGAGGAGGAAGGATGAACCATTCTTCTCTTAAACATTATATATATTTCCAGATTTCAACCTTGATGGACTTCTTTTGAACTTCAATTGCTAGATTGATAAAAGAATAGATTACAAAGATAGTGGTCACTTTGTTCAATCCGTCTTTCCACATGATTGTCTTTACTGAGATAATTATATCTAGCCACTGTGAGACTAAAATGCGTATCTGCATTTAAATCATAAACAAGAATGGACTGGGTGATCATAGTGGAACAAACCGAAAACTAATATACTCACCATTCCTTGAAGCAAAAAAAATGGAAATATATGAGAGGATGGTTATTTTTTACCTTGGTCTGCGAAGGTCAGCACATTATGTTGCTATGATACCCTATTAATTGAAAAAATAATAGGCGTCAATTTCTTACACTGTTTTCGATTCACCGCTGACCTGTATACATTCCCTTGTTCCACTTTGAACTGAGCTCATGCTGCTTACTAACCTATGTGATCTATGTCATTCACAGCTCTGAATAGAAGTGTATGTTATTTACCGGACGAAATCACCCCACTTAAGGCAGTAGGCCTCATGTCTCTCTCGGTGGTAACAGTGGTGTTAAACTCCTTGGTAATAATAACAATCTGGAAGGATCCATTCAAGGAACTCAAAGGAACAGCTAACTATCTCATATTAAACCTGGCTGTTTGTGATCTTCTTGTGGGCTTTCCAGCCGAGTTGCTTTTCGCTCTTCTGCTCTGGTTTCCCGACCGTGTTATTATTGTCTTTTCCGCATACGTTGCAGTATATCTTGATTTTTATGCTTCGTTTCTTACAATACTGGGCTTGGCAGTCGAGAGACTCCTCGTCATATCATCACCATCGTGGAGTGCGGATTATCAAACCACCGCTTATCGCACCGTTGGATTCCTTTCTATTTGGATATTTGCTGGACTGTTAGCCTTCCTTCCTGTGTTCGGTGCAGATTCGTGTCACAAATACAGAATGTTTATTACTGATGCAGTCGGACTTCCTGTATTGATCCTGTTATTTGCCTGTTACACACGAATCTTCTTACTGGTCAGAAAAGAGTTTAATCGAGATTTGAGGACAATCGACCAGAGAGGAGAACTACAACCCATCACAATAACTGGCCAATGGAGAGAAAGACTTAAAAGGAGAGAAAGACAGGTGGCTTGTTCTGTATTCATCATTGTTGGAATATTTTGCTTCTGTTGGCTTCCAGAATTAGTGCTGGCAAATATCATTGAAATCTGTAGAGACTGCATTCCAGATAAATTTCATTTGATATTCCATCTTTTCATATTGGCACATCCGCTGGCCAATCCTATTGCTTACTCATTGCATACACCGAAATTTCGACGGGCTCTCAAAAAAATTTTCAATCGAAAGGCCCCACTATAAACCACTTGTGCGCCTGTTTTTAAATGTTCCTTAACATTTTTATTATTTTCATTATGACTACTCAATCCTTAAAAACGTAAGGAAAAACTGTTAGGGGCTTAATAAAAAAAATGTTTATCTATTTTACAACATATACTTTTAATTTCAGTTTCCAGTGATGATAAAAAGCATTTTTAGTGGCTGCACTGGAGCCAAGTGGCTCGCGCAGCCGAAGCTTTTCCCTATTTTTGTAGCATGAAGCGACTAGGAGTATTACTACTCCCCCCTGAATGGGATGTCAGTCTGGTGCTAATACTGCTACTACTGCTGCCACTGAAATATTATTACTACTCAAGGGCGTAGCTGGGAGGGGGGGATCCTTCGTAAGCCTCTTTTGGTCATATTACGTAAAACAGTGCGTCGAGGTCGACATGCCTATCTGGTGAGTACCCTCGATCTGACGTCCCTGCTGTCAAAATTGTTACTACACGAGCTACTCAAAGGAATGTATCCAGAGCCCATGTAAATTTTTTTTGTTCAAAAGGGAACCGCACTTCGCTTTGTGGACCATTTACGTCACTTAACCATCTAACTTGATTTATTTCAATTGCGATGCTTCTAGCCCGTAGAGCAGGTGAAACTTTGGCGAGCGAGTGCTCAGTATTTTCTCAGCGACAATAACGGCCGCCATCTCTGATTTTAATGGCAGAGGCAAGCTGGAGAGAGAAAGAAATTTGTTTCAAGGGGGTGAGCGATGGTCAAAAATAAGGAGAGGGGTTGGGGTTGGAGAGTAAATTCTCTTTTCCCTTATCCCCCCATCCCCCACCCGGTTAAAGTTAATTCGCCCCTATAGGACGCCTGCACTACAGGCTACGACGCCTCGAACTGGCCCAGCTTTTTTCAAACTTTGATGACCTTTAGATTAAGCTGTTTCCCTTTATGCAAATAGGCATTTTACTTTGATAAACCCCAACATTTTCGAGATATACCTTATGATTAAATGAACGTGGCCTTTGAATCAAAGACCTAGTAACGTTTTCTCAAGATTCTGGGGTCTTGTATGACCGGGGCAACCTTGCTACTCTTGTCATTACTAGCTTATACCAGTCTGTAAACAAGAAAATATGGAAGAGACCGGCAAGACCGATTCGACCAGATGATGATATTGTACCCAGTCAATCCGGTAAATCAGCTCATAGACAATATCGGTCAAAATTCATTCTGGAATAGAAGATTCTTATAATTTTGGTATCGAAATAACATAAAATGATTCAATCGAAATTAATAAGTATCAGTCATTGACGAAATTTACCTTCAGTTTCCACGAGGATTCATTCAAGCCGTATGATGACATCGAAGCTGGTGCAATATAAAGATGAAAACAGTTCCTATAATTTTTGTTTCTAAAATTAAATCGCTTTCCGCTTAGGTTAGCATTC